TGGGATCCGTGTTGTATTGTGGCATCTTCGGGGATGTTAAACGGTGGCAGATCAATGGGTTATTTTAAGCAATTAGCCGGTAACCCGGAGAACCTGATTGCTATGACGGGTTATCAAGCCGAAGGGAACCCTGGGCATACACTGTTAGGTCTGAAGAAAAAAGAGCCTGAAGATAGAGCACTGAAATTGAACGACGGGACGTGTGTGAGTGTGTCATGCAAGGTGAAATCCTATTCGCTTTCGGCGCACGCAGATAGCAATCAACTCACAGAGTTCGTTGGGAAAGTGCAACCGCGTGAGCTATTTCTTGTCCACGGTGATGATAGTGTTAATGCACGAAAAGAATTGGCTAAATCCATACGCGAAAAGTGTCCGAATGTGGCTGTGAAACTTCCTGAAAATAGCCATCCGTACACAGTGAAGAAATGGTCTGGCATTGCAAAAGGGAGACAATTGCCGCATGACAGGATACTCGCCGAGGTGTCTGCCTTTGTGCGAAAGATGGGTCTGAAAGGGCCATTTAGTATCCAAGAATTGACCGAGATGTGGTTCAGTACAAAAGCAACCACACCTATAGCGGTGGATTTCTTCCGATTGTGCTTGTGGTTGGATTCGCAATTTTTCGAGCGCAGGCCTCCTAATTTGTTCTCTCCGCGGCAGCCTGCTTAAATGCTGTAAACCTAAAGAGGTGCTCCGACAGTCTTTGTCGGAGCACCTCTTCATTTTCCGACAAAAGAGATCTAAGCAAACAACTCCTGAATCACACTGCCATCGTTCACCACCCGAATCGGTCGCCCACCTCTGGAGTAATTTTGGTCCTCCGCATCAATACCGAGCGAAAAGCAGAGCGACGCAAACAGATCCGGGACGGAAACGGGCCGATCCACAACCTCTATCCCATCCGCATCGGTGGCACCAATCACCTGCCCACCGCGAATCCCGCCTCCCGCAAGGACAACCGACCAACCGTTGGGGAAGTGGTCTCGTCCATCGTTCTCATTAATTTTGGGAGTGCGCCCAAACTCACCGATCCACAGGACAATGGTTTCATCTAACAGGTCCCGATCGGCGAGGTCTTTCACAAGCATCGAAAAAGCAGGATCAAGCGTTTCGAGAAGGTTTTTGACCCGATCGAAGTTATCGTCATGGGTATCCCAACCATCGAGCGAGACTTCGACAAATTTCGTGCCTGCCTCAACCAACCGCCGTGCCATTAAGCAGCCGTCTCCAAATTGATTCATGCCGTAGGCTTCTCTCACGGCTAGCGGCTCGTTTGAGAGGTCAAACGCCTTGACATGCGGAGAGTTAATCAGCTTGTCCGCCTTTTTGTAGATCGCTTGATGCGCTTCCGTACTCCGATTCGCATGGTTCTTGAGGAAATCCTTTTCCAGATCTGTCAGCATCCGGAGACGCTGCTCAAATCGACGGGCGTCCATCTGCGGGGGATATTTGAGATCCTCAATCGGTTTCATCGGATCACTGACAACAAAGGGATCATGTTCAGCACTGAGAAACCCACTCGTAAAAGCGGGTGCATTGATGTTGACGCAGTTGGGCAGTTCAAAATCTTCATCATTCAGGTAGTGTGAGGCGATTGAACCAAGGGTCGGGTGTTTTACAGAGCCGGTTGGCGCGTAGCCGGTGTGGAGCAGATAGCGCGCCCTTTCGTGATTTCCTTCACGCGAAACCATTGATCGAATAATCGACAGATGATGCGCTTGTTCCGCGAGTAGAGGCAGATGTTCGGAGAACTGAACGCCTTCCACGTTTGTTGGAATCGCTGCGAAGGGTCCCGCGTTAAGCGTATCCGGCTTCGGGTCAAAGGTATCCAATTGACTCGCGCCACCGTTCATGAATAGGACGATGCAATGTTTGGCACGGGCTGCAATTCCTCCTAGCTGCGTCCACGCCGATGATTGCAGATGTTGCATCGCAATAAGTCCCAAAAAACTGCCGACTCCCAATTTGAGAAAATTGCGTCTTGAAACACTAAAGTTCTCGATTAACATCTTTGGAGACTTGCACTACCAGATCGCTGAGGTTCTGAACCATATTTTTCAGTTCAGTTGTTTCCGGATTGATTTCCATGATAGGTGATTCTCCTTTCTACCTCTATTCCATTGATTCAGCAGATTGATGTGTCGCATGGCACATCTAATGATTCAGCGCAAATTCAGCGGAGTTGAGTAATGCCCAGTAGAGGTCTTCATACGCAAGCGCATCGTTGCGATACAGACTTGACCGCAGGTATCGATCGAAATAGGTCCTGTCTGAAGTCCGTGGATAGCGCGAAAGGGTCGTGAGGTAAATCTGATCGAGTCGCGCCCGCTTGGTGCGATGTGTTTTGAGGATATAGTGGAGGAGACCGCCTCGCGCTTTGTGGTATCCACTGTCATTGACCAGCGATCCATTAATCATCATCAAGCTTGCGGAACCGTACCGTTGAATGCCTCAACTTCCTCCATCTCGCCGTTATCAATCAGGAAGAGAAACCGTTCTAAATAGCGGCGTTTCATATTTTCCAGTTGGCCACGGTCGCGCCGCTTTTGAAGTCGCTCAAAACCGGTTGATTCTAACATTGAATAGAAGAACTGTTCCGCCGTCAACGGTTTAACGTAGGCGTGCGAATAATAAAGTCGTCATATTGATTGCTTTTGTTTCGTTTCAGAGGTGCGTTGGTAGGTCTTGGTATTAAGGATGGTTCGCATCAAGTATTGAGATCATATCCATGAATCATAAAATCTTTCGCCAGCCAGTCAAGCAATTTGCAGGATTTGACGGTGGATACTCTTCCCCGAATCCGTCTAACGGTTCTACAAATCCTTTCCCCATAAAGTGCGCCCAGATCCGATTGACAATGGCATGGCAGAAATATGGGTTATCCTTAGCGGTCATCCACTCACTCAAGGCGTAACGCTGTCTAGTCGCTGGTGTTGTGCACTGTTTACCGTCGAGGAAACTTGGTGGGATAGGTTCATGAGTTTCCGGTATATAGACCGAGCCCTTCGGCAAATTTTTTAAGATACGTACCGCGACGCGCTCTTCGCTATCCTCGTCCATTTCGAAGATCTCTTCAAGGCGGATGTTGGCAAAAAACGCCGCCAACCCGTAGAAGTCCTCCTGATACCACGCTTCAGTTTTGTGGTCATGACATTGGGCGCACTGCATCGGCAATCCAAGAAACAACCGGGAGGTGTGAGCCGCGAGATCAACCGGCGAGAGATCATAGCGTAGCAGATAGTTCGCCGCACCATTTTCTTCCACACTGCCTTCTGCTGCGATCAGGGCGGTGACAAATTGATTGTAAGGCATGTTTTGTGAGAGGCTCTCGCGTATCCACCCCTCCAATCCTAAGCGTTGTTCCCTATCATTATCATCTCGACCATGAGCCAATTGGACCACAGTCGCGTCCAATAGTCGAGATAGAGTTCGCTGCCAATTAGTTCATCAATCTTTTTTTCACGTTTATCCTTAGAACCATCTTTGAGGAAACTGACAACCGCTTCTACAGTGGGAATTTGTCCAGTCAGATCCAGATGTACACGCCGCAAAAATTCAGCGTCACCGGATTGTCCTGATGGGTTAATCCCTTCTTCTTTCAACCGAGCATTAATAAGTTGATCTATATACTTCGTACCAGACCAAATACGTCCTTCAACGCTAGGACTGACGTTCCACAACATAATACTCACACAAGCGAAGATTAGCAGACCTATTAATAAATTGCTCTGTATCTGAGATAAGGCTTTCATCGTTTTTGTACACTTCCTTCTAATACTGGTTTTTATGCAGCGCTGCGTGGGTGAGTCTCCCTTATTTCAGTTGAATTAAATTTTAACACATTACCGCGGTGTAATTCAACGATAATGCTCGAGCAGTAATCCTATCTGAACCAATCGTAATGCAGACCCAATGAGCGATCTTTAAGCGGGAGGTCGACACGCACACCGCCCTGTGCGGAGGACTGCTTTAGTCCGAGCTCAACTTCAAGTGCCACAGCAACTCTCCTGCCTGAGTTCTTTGGTTCATCAAGCATACCCTCGAGGCAGTCGATGATGTCTGCCAGTCCGTAGACAGCGTTGTACCCACCGACAAATTGAGGCGGGGCCCACGGCATCTCTACACGCCGCTGTCCTTCAAGGGTATCAATATCCTGCCATAGTCGCCAACCGCCCGGATGCCCTGAATGAAATTGTATCTCGCCATTAGTACCGGTCAGACGGATCACGCCCGCTCCCTTTCTGAAGTGGATAAACGTGCCATCTACGGTAACCATCATCCCCTGTCCGGTGAACTCATTGCTCCCCGATTCACGTCGTGGTTGATCGCCAACGCCGATAACCCATGCGGGTGCGCTGTCAACAAAATAGGACCAATACTGCTTCTGTGAGGTTGGTGCTTCTGTCTCAATGGAGAGGATCTCGCCGATGGCGCCACTGTTGACCAATTCCTTTGCTTTGGCGTAAGAAGGGTGATTCACTGGAATAGCACCACAGCAAAGTGGCACACCGGCATCGGCGCATGCCTTGACCATCCGGTCGGCTTCCGCTAGTGTATGTACCATCGGTTTTTCGGTCGCAATTCCCTTCACACCGCACGCAACTGCCAAGCAGGTTAAATCAGCGCGACCTTTCGTGTTAGTAGCAATGGCGACAATGTCGAGTGCCTCCGTGTGCAGCATCTCAGCTGCATCGGTGTAAAGCGCCACCTCGCCGTAGCGTTCGCCAAATGCTTTCAACCGTTTCCGATCGCGATCCGCGCCGGCAACTAAGTCAATCTCCGGCCGGTCCCACATCACTTCTGCCCAGCTATGAGGTACATTCCCTACCCTGTGGTATTCGTGGAGGTGAAATCTGCGATGGACATCGAGTTCAGGTGTGGGGCGATCTACATCTTCGACGTTATACGGATCCCAAATCCGCCCGGCGAGATCGGAGAGCATTCCCATCCAGCCCAGCCCGATGACTCCAGCACGATACTTCGCCATGTCACTCCCCTTCTCAGACGCATTTACAACTCGTCCCACCATCGACGACGAGTTCTGTCCCGGTGATGTATTTCGCTTCATCCGAGGCGAGAAACAGCGCGGCATACGCCACATCCCAAGCATCGCCCATCTTCCCAGTGGGGCAGAGGGCATTCCGTACCTCAATCATTTTCTCTACATCCCCGTCCGCATAGCTATTAGCAAGCGATTTAACGACCATCGGTGTGTTCATGAAGCCGGGCAGAATGCTATTTGCTCGGATGTTCTGTTTCGCGTACTGGAGGGCGACGCTCTGGGTGAACTGCCTGATTGCCCCTTTCGTCGTGCTGTAAGAGATGTAAGGGACCCCCAGCCAGCGGATTCCGGCAATGGAGGAGATGTTTACGATGGCACCGCCCCCCTGCTGCTCCATCTGGGGAAGTACATATTTGCAAGTCAAAAAAATGCTCTTGAGATTGACGTTGTTAACGAAATCCCAGCTTTCTTCGCTCGCTTCGACAGGGCCGCCGATTTCAAGAATACCGACGTTATTGTGAAGAATGTTGATGCTGCCGTAGGTTTCAAGGCAGCGTTCCACCATCGCCTTGACTGCTTCGGACTTGGAAACATCTGTCTGATGAGCAGTACAATCCCCTCCCTCTTGATCGATAATCTCCTTCGTCTCTTCGGCTGCAGCGAGATTAATGTCGATAGCAAAGACCTTTGCTCCCTCGCGTGCAAAGAGAACAGCAGTCGCCTTGCCGTTACCCCAACCCGGTCCGACAGACCCCGCGCCGGTTACAATTGCCACCTTATCTTTTAAGCGATCCCCCATAGCTTTCTCCCTGCATAGTTTAAGTCACTTATGTAAAGACGGGCGTCATGAAAACGCGCCGTGCTGTTATCACTGACCTCTGGAGTACGGATCGTTCGGAACTTTGCATCATGATTGAATCGATCTATAATCGCGTCTCTACATAATTCCAATCCGGGGCAGTAATAGCGAAAATTTACGGTTTCGGTGTCTTTGCACAACGAAAACCGGTAATTTGACTTGTGGACCGGGAATCAAGAAAGTTGCGACTGGCAACTCGCAGTTTGTTATCTGCACTGCTCCACGAACCTCCACGTGATACGCGGCGGGTTGCTACATTCGCAAAATCATCATTCGTAAACGTAATCAATTTACCAGCGATTGGATTATTTTCTTGACCCGCAGCATAGAATTTAGCATCGTATTCATCAGTGCACCATTCCCATACATTGCCCCCCATATCATACAAGTTGTAGTCATTCTTAGCAAAACTCCCAACAGGGGCGGGCCCAGCCCATATATCTTTGCCATTTTCCCCTTTATAATTAGCATCATCATGGGTGATTTCATTTCCCCAAGGATACCGCATACTAGCTCGTCCACCGCGAGCGGCATATTCCCACTCTGCCTCAGTCGGGAGCCGCTTGCCAGCCCATTGAGCGTATGCGGCAGCATCAAGCCACGTCACCCACAACAGGTTGGTCGAGTGCGTTAAAGGTCGGGTCCTCCCAAAAGTCCGGTGCCTTGTGTCCCGTGGCGTCGAGGAACTGTTTGTACACAGCATTAGTCACTTCAGTTACATCCATGTAGAAGGCATTGACAGAGACCGTGTGAACCGGTAGTTCGTGAGGTAACCCTTCCCCAAAAGAATCCCCCATCTCAAACGTGCCGGTGGGGATCAGCATCATTGTTGTGCCATCGCTTTTGGACACAATCTCTAGCTCGGCAGTGACGCTTATCGTTTTTTCTTGTTCCACTGTGATGGGGTTAGGAGCATCATTGCGTACCGTTAGGATAATGGTGTACTCTCCAACACGCTCGTAGGTGTGTGATGCCGTGAGTTCCTCGCCGAATTTTGTCTGCTGTCCGTCTCCCCAATCCCACTTCTACTTCGGAGATCTCATAATGTGTGTCGCTGGATTGATTGGCGTTAACGGTTATTTGTCCGCCTAAAAGATCGCCTACATCCTCAGCAACAACCTCAATTACCGCGATAAGTTCATGTCCAAGTGGATTTACCGTAATCTCTATTGTTCTGTTTGAAGAGTTACGAATAAAGCCAGCCTCAGCTTCTCCTTGATACAAAACTGTTCCACCCTTTAAGACTTCGATTGTTACCACCTGATTCGCTCCAAAATGGACTTCACTGAGAGCTATCTCTTCAACTGGCTGGCTGGTCGGCTTGATAGACAGATTTTGCTCTGTTGTTATTGTTGCTACATTGGGTCCGGTAATTGTAATTCGTACCGCGTATTCCCCTGCTTCTTTCAAGTTTGAGAAGTTGATTGGGATTATCGCTGCTATTTCATCTTGAACCTCATCATCCTCGCCACAACCGGACAAACATAGAGTAAAGCTGACGTATATGAGTGTTATCAAAGCTAAAATGAATCTCACTATTGTCTCCCCTATATTAAATAGTTTCAATATTTCGGCTGCTATGCCTATTACGCTTTCGAGAGATATCTTTCGCGTTCGATGACCTGTTCCAGATGATACATTCGCTCAGGCGAAGCAGTCTGTCGCATAACCTCTGAATGAACGCTTTGCGACCTCGGATAATACCGTGGCTTGCCATCCCGGTGGAGATAACTGTCGAGTTCGGCGATCTCGGTGTCTGTCTTTGCTCTACTCGCCACATTGAGGTCAAAGTGGCGACGACTACGTCCTCCACCGAAGGAGGCGTGGTAAATATTGTGGTTAAAAACCACAACATCCCCCGGTTCAGTTTCAACGGCGACACACGGAACATCACTCCCATTAACCTCCAATGCTTCGTTTGAACGACGCACCTGCTCAATGCGCGCTCGCCATTCCCCAAACAAATGGCTTCCCGGTATCACGCGGATACACCCCGTATCGCGTGTGAGCGGATCAAGATAGAGATGAAACTTGGCATACAGCCCAACCTTGTGCGCGCCATCGGAGTGCCAGCCGGTATCCCCACTGTAATAATTCCCATCTCCACCCACGTAGTTGAAGTCCTCGCCTAACAGCGACCCAATCACCTCAAGCACCTTCGGATGGTCCAGAAGGGTGCAAAGACGCTCGCTTTGGTCAATAAAAGGAACGATCTGAGAGCGCTTTGTCCCATCATGCACCATACCCTTCTTCTCAAAGACTGCTCGATGCTCCTCAGTCATCCAATCAACCTCTTCCGTTAATAGATTGGGAAGATAGAGATACCCGAACAAGTTGAAAAATGCACATTGTGCTGATGTCAATGCCATGAAACACCACCCCAAAATATGCTATTCTTGTGTTGTTGAATCCTTGCTTTGCAGCAACAAAAAAGGGACTGTCTATCCCAGTCCCTTTATCTTCCCTAAAATCCAAGCGTTTTTCTAACCACATTCTGTAGTGGCTCGCCCGCTTTATATCGCCGGATATTATCGCAGAAAAATTCGATAGTACGGCGTGGGCGATGCTGTGAACCCCCAGCAGCGTGCGGCGTGAGGATCACGTTGTCCATATCCCACAAAGGGCTATCCTGCGGGAGCGGTTCAATTTCGGTGACATCCAACCCTGCGGCAGCAATTTTTCTCTGTTTCAGAGTTTCAATGAGGGCTGGTTCGTCAACAATTGGGCCGCGAGCAACATTGATGAAATAGGCAGTCGGCTTCATTAATGCGAGATTTTCAGCATTGATTAAGCCCCGCGTCTCATCTGTGAGCGGACATGCAATCATCACCACATCTGCGCGACTCATGAGGTCAGGTAGTTGATCAATTGGCATCAGTTCATCAACCACATCCGGCTTATCTGTGCGGTAGGCATCAACAGAGATAACGTACATCTCAAAGCCTTTGGCGCGCCTTGCCATGTGTTGACCAATCCCGCCCATGCCAACGATACCAATCGTGAAGCCGCCAATCTCGATCATGGGTCTCCCACCGCTCCATTTACGCTGATCCCGATTACGGGTGAATTGGTCTATACCCCTTGCGATAGCAAGCAGCAGGGCGAAACCTTGATCCGCGACGTGAGAGCCATACAACCCCGCAGCATTTGTCAAAATAACATCACTATTTACGAGGGCAGGATACAGCGTACTGTCCATCCCTGCGCTAGAGGACTGAATCCATTTCAGATTCGACATCTGTTTGAACAGTTCCTCACTACATCCACCAAAAAGGATTTCTGCGTCCGCAGCTTCCCTGACATACTCTTCCTCTGAATTTGCAAATACGACGGTATCTTCCTCACCCGCAGCATCCCGGATGATTTGATTCAATTCTTCATCTGAATTTGGTCTTTGTACCAAAATTTTCATATATTGTCTCCATTCAAAAAATTAAGAAATAGAAAAACGAAGAAAAGGAAAAATTCCTATTTTCCGAAATTACCTTTGCGTCGCATATCATAGATACTTCATTTCCATGGTGGCACTTCAGGCAACAACGCTTCAAACTCCTCAATTAGCTCGGTTTCATACGCTCCGGCATACTCGTTGTTGAAGAACTTATCCATTCCCACATCCACGAGACGTTCCCACGATTCCTCCTCGTATCCAGGATTGACGGGAAAAACAGCGCACCGACGTCCCGAGCGGCTTTCAAATCGCCGGGAGCGTCGCCAATCATTAGGATATGATCCGATGGATACTTCCCTTTTGCTGTCAACGTGAGATGCTCCGTTTTGGATCCCATCTCCTGTCCTGCAATCACCGCGACATATTGGTCGATGTTGTGTTCAGTCCATTCCCGTCTGAGTGCCTCGTTGGGGGTCGCTGAAACCACAATCGCATCAGCGCGGTCCTGTAGGCTTTGCAGCGTCTCACGGACGCCGGAGAAAGGCGGCAGATTGTGGACAATCTCAGCAATAGTCTCGTTCACAGCAAGGCTCCACTTAAACACTTGGCTCAACTCCTCCCGCTGCGCTCCTGTTGTATTCTCAATCACTGCCTCAAGCGTGGGATTACCGAGTTTGGTTTCCGTTTCTGACCATTCCCTAAGATACGGAAAATCGGGGACCGAAACACCAGCCTTTTGAACTTTCGGCATCTCCCGAAGAAGGTCACAGACAAGGAGGATCGCTTTGAAACGATTGCAGCCGCGCGTTGTGGAATAAAGATTCACAAAATCCCACGCTTGATGGACTTGCCGCGAAACAGCGGGAAGCCCAAAGTACTTAATCAGGTTGACGCTGAAGCAGTCGTTGTGCTTGACTTCCATCGAATTGAACGCACAACCATCCGAATCAATTCCGACAAAATAGTCATGTTTCGGCTGGAAGTTTTTTAACGCTGCCGCTGCATCTTGATCCATTCAATTCTCTCCTTTCAATTCGGACTATCAGATAGGCATGAGTTCAAGCGTTCATAGGTTTATTGCTTCATTGCGCTCATGAATCCGTGAATCGCACTTTAATCAACAACGACTTCTGGCCTACCTTCCACCATCCACTCCGTGTGGAAAACAGTCGGCTGCCCATCCGCCCCCACAACTGTCTTGCCATCGGCATCAATCCGGTTGTAGGTGTGTGCGCCAAAGTAATCCCGTTGTGCTTGGATGAGGTTGGCAGATACACGAGCACTGCGGTAGCTATCGAAGTAAGCCAGTGCCGAGCTACACGCCGGTATCGGAATACCGAGCTGCATAGCGATTGCAGCCACATGCCGCCAATTGTCCTGAGTTCTTTCAATAACCTCAAGGAAATAGGGATCAAGTAACAGATTTGGCAAGTTGGGGTCGTTCTCATAGGCATCGGCGATTCGATGCAGAAAACGGGCGCGAATAATACAACCACCGCGCCAGCCAAGAGCGATTGTCCCCAAATCGAGATCCCAATTATACTCGCTGCTTGCTTCGCGCATCAACGCAAACCCTTGGGCGTAGGAGCAAATCTTGGAAGCATACATGGCATCATGGATAGCCGCTAGCAACTCTGATTTGTCACCTTCATATTTACCACTGGGACCACGGATAATTTTCGAGGCTTTGACCCGTTCCTCCTTCACCGCCGAGATACACCGTGCGAAGACCGCTTCAGCGATGGTAGGAGCGGCGATGCCGGTATCTAGGGCAGAGATACTTGTCCATTTTCCCGTGCCTTTTTGCCCTGCAGCATCAAGGATAACTTCCACAAGGGGGACACCCGATTTGTCTGTCTGCGTAAAGATGTCGGCTGTAATCTCAATTAGATATGAATCCAACTCGCCTTCATTCCATTTTTTGAAAGTCTGGTGCATTTCTTCAGCATTCATGCCGAGGACGTGTTTCATTAGGGCGTACGCCTCACAGATGATTTGCATGTCGCCGTATTCGATACCGTTATGTACCATTTTCACATAGTGTCCAGCGCCATCGGGACCGATGTGAGACACGCACGGAGTACCATCGACTTGGGCCGCAATCTTTGTGAAGATTGGTTCGACAAGCGCGTAAGCTTCAGGATCGCCACCGGGCATCATCGCAGGACCATATCGAGCACCTTCCTCGCCGCCCGATATCCCGGTTCCGATAAACCGTATCCCCTTCGCTGCGAGGTCAGTGTTACGGCGGATGGTATCTTGGAAATTCGAGTTTCCGCCATCAATGATCAGATCGCCTTCTGAGAGATGTGGTGTCAATTCGTTGATACATGCGTCAACCGCAGTGCCAGCCTGCACCATTAGGATTATTTTCCTCGGTGCACTCAGTGAACCAATGAACTCTTTGATTGAATGTGTGCCAACAATATTCTTACCTTTTGCCCCTCCTGCGATGAAATCATCCACCTTTGAGACCGTACGATTGAATACCGAGATCCGAAACCCTTGGCTCTCAATATTGAGAGCCAAATTTTCGCCCATCACGGCTAATCCAATGAGCCCAATGTCAGCTTTTGCCATCTTTGGCGCCTCCTGTTAGTCTGCAACATTAAGTGCGTTGGATATGATACATCACTCCGAAAATGTGGTCAACTGAAAAATTGTGCGTGAGGTTTAAGGGATAAAACAGATTTTTCATCTTGACACATAGCCTCCTTTCTGATATGCTTGCATCATCCCTGCAAATTCCAAACCCAATATATACTGAACGACCCCCAAACTGCTCAATTGGTGCCCGATAAATCGACGTCAGTGAGGGCATTTGTCGCGGTATTGTTACATCAAGGAAAAAAGGGGTAATTTGCCAACTTAAAAACGCAATCCGCCAGAACGATTGCGGTTGCTGGATACAGACGTAACAAATACAATCCAGATACACGCTTTAATGATGTTGGGGTTGTGTCAAGGGTGCTTAGAAGCCGTTAAGACGGAGTGGGAATTCTGACGGAGTGAGGTTTATCACTCCAGAGGCAGGATAGCATAAAGAGAAGGATAATACAGGTAAGGAATCGAGCGCGACAGAGAAGTGTTTGAGTCTGATGCAGGGCATGGATTAAGTCAGAGAGCAGCTGGCGTTCAACAGATAGCGGGTGACAAGCGACTCTTACCGCTCAATTTTGATATTTCAGCCACCATTGAATGAATTATGCCTGAAGATAGTGGCGAAGCAGCTTTCTCAAGTTCCGGTGTGCATGGAAGAGATGTGCCTTCACCGTACCGCTTGAACGTCCCAATGTATTGGCAATCTCTTTGAGCGAAAGGCCCTCCCAGTGGCGAAGGATGAAAATCTCGCGCTGTTTGGGAGCTAACTGCATAATTGCCCGCCGGAGATAAGTCAATAGCTCTTTGTCCTCAACTGCTTGTGTCGGAGGTCTCAGATTGACATCTGCGATATTCATCATCGGGAGGTCATCAGATTCCAACGCATAGCTCACCGTTTCGCGCCGCGCGTTCTTACGCAAGAAATCGATGCAAAGATTGACAGTTATGCGATAAAGCCAGCTGTAAAACTGAGACTTTCTCTTGAAATCTGGGAGTCCCTGATAGGCTCTGATAAAAGCATCTTGAGTAATATCGAGGGCATCTTCGGAATTCGGGACAAAACGTTGCGCGAGTCGGTAGGTACGGTCATGGTAGCGTACCACCAATTTATCGAAAACCGATTTATCGCCCTGTTGAAACTGTTCAATCAACTTGGCGTCATCAGGAGATGCTTGTACACATCGTGGTAATATTTTTTCGTAATCTTTTTCTTGCATTTTGCCTTTCACCAAAAATGCCGTGGTCGACACGTTTCCCTTCGGGGATTGTGACAAATTCGGCGTATTTAGTCATCAATCCTGAATAACTAACTGATGACTAAGTTTTGATAATCAATAGACTGAAGGGACAGTAAAATACCGGATTAATCTATCTGTTTGAACATATTAGAAAACCAACGTTTATATCTCTTATTATCTTGAACGATTTGCTGCAACAGTTCTAAACTTTCTTTGTGATTCGCAGTCTGTGCGGTATCCGCGAGATCTAGTACTTCTTCAAGTACGACCCGATCTTGGCGAATCAAATCAGACAGCGCTGCCTTGAGGCTTTGTTCATGTCCAAGCAGTCCAAGATTCGATTGGCGTGGCGAATCTCTTCCGACGCCACCTGCTTTAGGTAGGCCGCGAGTTCATGTTGATTTTGCTGTTCCGCCATCTGTGCTAAGATAAACCGCGTACCAATTGAAGTCAACTTTGCATGTGCCAATTCGTCCAACTCGGCTTCCAGACGTTTTTTCACATGCCCAGGATCGCGAGGGTGAAGCTGATCATAGCTTGGCCAAACAGGCTTTTCCATCACCTGTTTCAAGCGCGTCAAACTTTGGATCAGGTACTCCTGTTCTTCAGAAGTCAACTGTCCAATTGTCTGATGCCAGAAATCAGTCGCGCTCTCTGACCTGTCCTGAAAAAGCTGCTGTGATTTTTCTGTCAACTGTATACGATTCTGCCGACGATCTGTATCGCATTTACGACGAATAGTCCACCCATCGCGCTCTAGGCGGTCTACGAGACCAGAGACGGTGCTGTGAGCGAGCCCGAGATGTTCTCCCAGTTCGCTGATGGTCATACCGGATTCGCCACCATACCAATGAAGGTGCAGTAAAGCGTTAAACTGCACAATCGTGAGTTTCTTCGGTACAATCTGCTGCACAAAGCGCGACTTCACCGCAGCCTGTGCATGTCGCATCACGCGCATAATCAGCATCACATTTTCGGCATACTTGGACATTTTCTCTGTATCTCTTTCAGATTTTCAGAATTACGTCGTATAACGGATATAATTCCGTTGTATACGATATAATACTATATAATTTTGTTAAAGTCAACCCCAAATTGATCGAAAATATACCTCCATTAGAAATTAAGTAGTCACAGTACACAAAGGAAAACTGCCTATGAAATATTTGACCTACTCTGGCAATCATCTGATTAACGCAAAATTGCCCGATAACTCGGAAATCTACTATCCACAACCGGCAAAACCGGGGGTGAGACGCTCCGAAATTCCAGAGCATCTCAAAAAGGCTGTGGAAAATCCGCTGGGGATGCCTCCCCTGAAGGAACTTGTCAACGGAAACAGTAAGGTCCTGATCGCTTTCGATAATAACTGTCAGCCCTTTCCAATGACAAAAAAGCCTGATATGCGTCAGGTTATCCTCGAAGCATTGCTGCCTATGCTCTACTCCTACGGGGTTGAGAAGAAGAATATACAGCTAATTTGTGCTGGCGGACTTCATCGCAAAATGAAGACACACGAGTTGGCATACATGTTAGGCCGCAAAATTATGAACGAGTTTTATCCATATCAGTTGAGAAACTTTGATGCGGAAGATCGTGATAGTATCGTCGATTTAGGCAAGACGGGCAAAGACGAAATCGTTGAGGTCGAACGTGCTGTCGTGGAAAGTGATCTAGTGATCTATGTTGACACTATCCAAATCCCCCTCAACGGTGGACACAAGTCGGTCGCTGTTGGGATGGGGACATATAACTCAATCGCCCCACACCACTCCCCACACATGACTGCGGAGAGTCCGCATGTTATGCAACCTGGGGGGTCAAACATGCACGATTGCATCGAGCGGATGAGCCGAGTTATTCAGAATCATAGTAAAATCATGGTTATCGAAGCCGCCATGAATAACCAAATCTATCCCACAGGTTTTCGCCAGTTGGGTAAGCCAAATGCTCAATGCAACGGCTTTGAAAAAATGCTAAAAACATTGACGCCGCCTGCACTGTCGCTGCTGCCGGAAGCGTTACGATACAAAATCTTCAAAGGCATCCGAACTGATTATGAACCGATTGAGATCAACGCCGGTGCCATTGATGCCGTTCATTCCGAAACCCTTGATGCGATGAAAAATCAGTTGATGATAGACGTTCCGAAACAGTTTAGCACTTTGGTCTTTGGGTTGCCCGATATGAGCCCGTATGCTATCGGTGCCCGGATTAATCCCGTTTTGGTTGTCAGCGACGTATTGGGGTACGTTTTCAACTGGTTTTATACACAACCGCTGATTAAGAAGGGTGGCGTCGTAATTATCTTGAATCCAACCTTTGAAGTCTTCCATGAAGAATACCACGTCCCCTACAAGAAGTTCTTTGAAGAAGTCCTCGCCGAAACTACTGAGCCTTTTGAAATGCAAAATCAATTTCAAGAGCAATACGCCTACGATCCTTATTTCATAGATTGTTACCGCAACAAGTTTGCGTATCACGGATTTCATCCATTCACCGTCTGGTATTGGGCAACCTATGCGCTGAAGTATCTGTCCAAAGTCATTTTGGTTGGTCCCAAAGATGACCGCGTTGCCAAGAAGTTAGGCGTAGATTGGGCAAAAGATTTAGAGGGCGCATTGGGAGTAGCGAAGGAGATCTCCGGCGAAGATGATGTTGTTGCTTTGACGATGCCACCATTCCTTTACGTCAACGTTCAATGAAATTGGCAAGTTGGTTGCGTGTCATAGGAGCATCGTAAAATTAAATTCAGAGGTGAAATATGTCCTACCAAAGAATGAACAAAAAAATACCGACCATTGAGGAAATTCAGAAAGAATTTGAGGATTTCGTTAAACGGAAATACGGGGGTACTGTCAACTTTACAATGTCGCAGGCAAAGCCAGATACAACTACAACTGACGATACAAGCACCTCCGCCCCTGAAAAAAAGACATTCGATCTGAAATTTGACCTCAAACCAAAAGAGGTTAAGCAATATCTTGACCGTTATGTCATCAAACAGGACGATGCGAAGAAAGCGTTGGCAATCGCTGTGTGCGATCACTACAATCATGTACGCGAAGTCCACGAAAATCCGAAAGTTGCTGACACCGATTACTCAAAACAGAATGTCGTTATGCTCGGACCGACAGGCGTTGGTAAAACCTACCTAATTCGCTATATTGCCAAGTTGATCGGTGTGCCGTTCGTCAAAGCAGATGCAACTCGGTTTAGCGAAACCGGTTACGTCGGTGCAAATGTCGATGACATGATTCGAGACCTATTAACACAGGCAGACGACGATATTGAGTTAGCACAATACGGTATTATTTACCTTGACGAAGTGGATAAAATTGCGACTCCACCGAACATCATCGGGCGTGATGTCAGCGGACGCGGAGTACAGATTGGTCTCCTCAAACTGATGGAGGAAACAGAGGTCGATCTCCGTGCTGGTTACGATGCAGCTTCTCAGATGCAAGCCATGATGGAGTTCCAACAGAAAGGCAAGGTTGGAAAGCGCATCATCAACACGCGCCATATCCTGTTCATTATTAGCGGGGCATTCAACGGGTTGAAAGAAATCGTCAACAAACGCATGAATCAGAGTAATATTGGCTTTAACGCAACAGTGAAAAGTCAAACGGAGTTAGAAAATCCTTTTCAGTTTGTTACGCCGCAAGATTTCATTGAGTTCGGATTTGAACCCGAATTAATCGGTCGCCTACCCGTCCATGTTATATGCCAAAACCTTTCTGCGGATGATCTCTACTATATTCTGAAACACTCCGAGGGATCAATCGTCCGTCAGTATGAACGGGCGTTCGGAGCGTATGGGATTGAGGTGTCGTTTTCCGATGCAGGACTCCATCGAATTGCTGAACAAGCATACGTCCAAGGAACAGGAGCGCGTGCGCTGATGACGGTCTGTGAAAAAACGCTGCGCGAATATAAATTTGAGATGCCTTCCTCTAGTATCCGAGAGTTCGTTGTAACAGAAACGGTCGTTGAGGATCCGGCAGGCGAGCTGCAGCGGATTCTGGAAGATGCCGACTACAACCGCCCAATTGTCATGCGTGAGCGGGTTCGCCGGTAGCGAAGAAGATTTCCAACGTGAACATCAGATGCAGATCCAGTTTGATGATGGAGCGACAGAACTCTTATGCCAAAGGCGATTGACCAAGGTCGGAGTGCCAAGGAAATCTGTGAAGAGCTATTGCAGAGTTACCAACACGGCCCTGAACCTTATCAGGCAAAATACTGGCAGTCTGTGTTCACTTTACTAAGCGGTGTGATAATCCAGATGTTATGCTGAGCGTTGGAAATTCCGCGAATCTCCTACGCGCAAAGTTCGTAAGAAGAAAGACAGCCGTCGAAGCGGAGTCTTTGAGATTGGTGGAAGATGAAATAAACTTGACGCATCCAGTCCAGATGTAGTGTGCTAACGTTATAGGCTGTTCTAAATTTGGCTACGCACTACCAATCCCAAAGTTTATGGAGCACACTTTCCATCCTGTTCTTTTTTGACTGTTAGCGAAGAGAAACCTGAAGATTGCTGAAAACCTCATCGGGCCTCATCGGCAATACCCCACTGTTCACCTAACTACCTACCCGTGTCCAGACGACGCACAATCTTAGCGAGCTGGAATCGTATAACCCCGGCGGCAGTATCAAGATCGGATTGGCTATGCCATGATAGCGATGCCGAAGAACGGGGATTGCTCAAGCCGGGCTACACAATAGTTGAACCCACAGCGGGTAATACAGGAATCGGGCTTTCGATTGTCGCGATTGCAAAGATACCGTGTTACTTTGACCATGCCCAGAGAACGTCAGCCGGGAAAAGTATACCCTGCTTGCCTCTTTTGGCGCAGAGATTATCTAACTTCTGAGACGCTGGGATGGGTGGGGCAATTTTGGGAAGCTGAGGAAATCGCTGCACGGAATCCACACAGTTTATGCCCAATCAATTTGAAAATCCTGTGAACCCTGAAATTCACCGGCAAACAACAGCGCGTGAGATTCTGGACGACATTGATCGTGAGATTGATTTTTTTGTCGCCGGTGTCGGGACGGGAGGAACCCTAACAGGTGTCGGAGAAGTCCTCAAGATCCATCGATCAAAGACTCAGGTGGTTGCAGTAGAACCGAGCATTTCGCCAGTTTTGTCCGGTGGTCAGCCGGGACCAACCCGTATTGATGGCATTGGAGCAGGCAGAATTCCAGCGGTGTTAAACGTTAATGTCATCGATCAGGTGATGACTGTCTCTGACGGAGAGGCTTATCAGATGATGCGGCGGATTTCAAAAGCCGAAGGGTTGCTCGTTGGGATGTCGTCAGGGGCAAATGTCCATGCCGCATTAGAAGTGGCGCGGGGGCTTGGGGTGGATAAAACTGTTGTCACAATTTTGCCGGATACGGGGAGACCGTTATTTTAGCCTCGCCCGGTATTTTGAATCAGAAATCGGTGCGGAAGCCGGTTTTGAGTAAAATAGGGAAATGAGCTTGAAAGTTCAAAAGTTCCTCGACTCATCAATTCACTTATCCCTCATTTGTCATGTTCCATGTATACAGGAAGGATCGGGTATCCCTTGAATGAATTAACAAATCAAGATCTGATAAATGAAGAACTGTGCTACGAAGTTCGTCTACTCGAAGAGCCGCAGGAGATCCTATTCAATCTCATTAAACGTTTTAAGGAACGCGCTGCAATTGTTACGAGCGGACAATTGTCCGGAATGATTCTGCTCCACATGGCTTACGAAAATAAGCTGCCATTTAGAGCCTGTACAATTGACACGCTGCGTCTGTTCCCTGAAACCTATGAATTCTTCGATCACATCGAAGCGCATTATAACATCCGCATTGAGAGGATTACCCCGGAGCCGGAAGCCGTAGATCGAATGGTCGCAAACCACGGGGAGTTCCTGTTCTTCGACAGCAAACAGAAACAGGAATATTGTTGTAACATCAGGAAAGTGGAGCCGATGCAACGATTGTTGGATACACTAGATGTCTGGTTTTCCGGGCTTCGACGAGATCAATCCAGTAATCGACAAAGCACCCCCAAAGCGGAAATCATCGAGCACAAGGGGCGTTCTATACTGAAAGTCAATCCGCTGGCGGATTGGCCCGAAGCACGGATTTGGGAGTACATTCACAAACACGATATCCCCGTGAATCCACTGATGGAACCCCAGAAGTACGGGCAATACTATGAATCACTCGGATGCGTCATCTGCACAACGCCAATCCTGCCCGGTGAACCAAAAAGAGCAGGACGGTGGCGTTGGCAAAACGCGCCATCATCGGACGAAGAGAATAAGAAAGAGTGCGGGATTCACTACGCAATATAGAACCTAAAACGCAAAGCATCCAAGTTTTACCTCGGAAATATAGAAACCGTCATAATTAAGACCGAAAATTTTTGGACTCGTTTTATTTAACCTTACAACGAAGGGAGTTTTGCAATGGCTGTTACCGTACGTATTCCAACCCCTCTCAGAAGACTCACGCAAAGTCAACCGGAAGTTGAAGCAGAGGGAGATACAATTGAAAGTCTCCTCGAAAACCTTGAGGCAAATTATCCGGGAATCAAAGAACGCATCTGTGATGAATCCGGTAATATTCGTCGTTTTGTTAATATTTATCTCAACGACGAAGATATTCGCTTTTTAGATGGCAATGCAACGACAGTTAAGGATGGCGACGAAATCTCAATTATCCCTGCAATCGCAGGCGGTTCATCAGATGATGAAAGAGACTGAAGTATTAGAATTACAAAACGAGACGCTGGATCAAATCTGCGCGCACGCAAAGGTCGAATTTCCCGATGAGTGCTGTGGCATCATTTTGAGCGACGGGGGCCGGGAATTCGTCCGGGAATGCCAAAATATACAAAATGAACGACATGCCGAAGATCCGGATACGTATCCCCGCGATGCACGCACCGCATATCTAATAGCCCCGAACGACTTAATCCGTGTGCATAAAGAAGCTGAAACCAAAAATCGACCGATCAAGGCATTTTATCATTCACACCCAAATCACGATGCCTATTTTTCGGAAAAAGATAAAGCGGATGCAATGGCTTGGGACGAACCGGTGTATCCCGGTGCAGCTTATGTTGTGGTCTCCGTCTACAACCGGGAGGTTAAAACCACAAAGGCTTTCGTTTGGAATGAGGATGATACAGATTTTGTAGAGGTGCCGATAGGCGCGAAGCGTGATGCGTAATAGGATTCGTTAATTCAGAAAGGAGCGGCAGATATGGCATTTTTAAGGCTTCGATTGACTTTCCCGCCGGATCTGATCACTGAGCCCATCATCCACAACATCGGTCAACAGTACAATGTGATCACGAGCATTCGACGCGCCGATGTCACGTCTGACCGTGGGTGGGTTGTTTTGGAGATTAAGGGTGAGCCCGACGAGCTTGAACGGGTTGTTGAGCACCTCAAGAACGTCAAGGTGGAAGTTGAGCCAATTGAAGGAGATGTAGTTCAGTAAGGAAAAAATTCAGCAAGCACAGCACGGGGAGAACAAATAAGGACTCAGACAATTGACTGTGATCAATCTGAAACCATGCACTCCCCATCAATAAAATAGGGACACAATGGACAATGTTCTAAATTCTTTTCAAACCTTCCCGCCTCGATTGCGTCGGAGCTCAAAGCTGCGTCTATCGCCTTAATTCGTTCTAGCCACGCGCCCTCAATATCTATTAATTCTTCCCTCGTTACCTCCACCGAATACGAGGAGGCGAGATCTGTGGAGTAGACTGTCACCGGTATGACTTGCTGTTCAGGATAGAGCCGGTGGACAAGCAGAGCGTATAGTTCGATTTGTGACCGGTAGTAATCCGCTATATCACCGATGCCTTCCCAATCAATTCTATCCGTTTCGTAGTTGATAACCCGCCATAACCCCCGCACATCCTTGAAAAGCCTACCTGCAATTCCTTCGACTATATGAGAATCAATCTCGGCGTGGATGTGCCGTTCACGATAAACCTCATCTGCGTTTAACGCCATCTCCTCAACTTTCGAGTCCAAAAAGTGATTAACATCTTTACGCACTGTCTCAGCGGTCTCCTCGGACTGGGCCTCCGATGATGGCACCTGAAATCTGGTGCTGTAAATAAAACCGCGTCGAACAGTGAGCATACGTTATAAGTTCCGTCACCGAGACAGTTTCGCCGACAAATGAAGCGACCAACGGATCAATATGGTACGCTGGAAAGTCGGCCGCCAGCGACGGGGTGGGCGTCTCTCCTTCAGCAGAATCGAGTTCATCGGGGGATTTAATGATTCGGATCGGTAGATCGAAGGGGATTGTCGTATCTTCCTCTCCCGATAGAGGTTGAATCGTTGTTGGATATAGAAGTTTGCCCTCCGATGGCATCCCTGAAAGCCCTAGGACATCGAAAAGCCAACCGAACCAACCTCTCGCCTCTCCTTTCTCGGTGAGTGTTCCCGATAGGATTAGGCGATCGCGAGCGCGGGTTGTTGCCACGTAAAAGAGACGCTGCTCCTCTGCTTCTCTCTTGTCTCTTGCGCGTTCCCTCATCAACTGTGTTGCCCCCGGATCGCTCTGTTGATAATTTTTTTCCGGGTTCGCGGGCTTAAAACCGATCCCCAACTGATCATCAATAAACGGTTCTTGGTCATACCTTGTAGCCCTTCGATCCAGGTTAGGAAGGATGACGACCGGAAACTCAAGCCCTTTTGCTGCATGGATGGTCATTATCTCGACAGCGTCCGCTGTCAATTGTGTTGTTGCCTTGCCCTTCGCGTTCTTCCTCTTCAATTAGTAGATTCAATCGTTTCAAGAAGTCGAGACGATCTGTGAATCCCAATCTTTCAAAATCTCTTGCAATCCCTAATAGCTTCTCGTAATTTGCCCACCGCTGCTCGCCACTCTGTCCGACAGGAAGCACCCCTACCATCCAGTGTCGTTGACGATTTTCCGGATGAGTTCGCTCGGCGGGATACGGTGACAGATTTCAATATGACTTCGCAGTATCTGGACTGCATAACCTATTGGAGAAGTTGAAGATTGATCTGTTTGAGCGACGATAATCTTGGACTTTCTCCCAAAATAGTTTTTTAGAAGATTGTTGTGCTATCTCATACAACTCTACATCCGACACACCGAAGAATGGCGCGCGGAGAATCCCTGCGAGTGCCACATCGTTGGTCGGAACCGATTAAGGATTGCAGGTAGTTACCGATGTCGTAAATCTCTTGGCGCTGATAAAATCCGATGCCCCCTGTGATTTTGTATGGAATCTCCGCTTCGAGCAAGGCAGATTCAATCTCCGGCAAGCGCGTCCGGCTCCGAATGAGGATAGTGATGTCACCGTATCGGATCGGCTGGGGTTTTTCACCGTCGCCTTCGTCCTTCCAAACCGTTTCGTTTGTCCCAACCAAGTGTTGGATGCGTGCCACAATCAGTTCGTTTTCATCAGCGGGGGGGGCTGATTCACCCCCTGCCTCCTCCTTTGAACTGATGAGCAGTTCCACATCACCGGGCTGATCTGTAGCTCTCCTCTGAATTAGCGGCTCATACTTGACTTCAAACTCATTCCGCCCTTTCATGAGTGACTCAAAAACCAGATTGACGAAGCCTACAAGGTTTCGTAACAGTCGGAAATTTTCAAGAAGAGGGAGGGTGCCACGCTTCTCTGAGTCGTTTGCCTCAAGTATCTGCCCCTCCCAAGTAAAGTCTTCGGTCAATGCGGATTGATATTCGGTTATCTCCTTCCGTGTTTGATCAAATACCCGTACATCTGCCCCGCGAAACCTATAGATACTTTGGTTCTGATCGCCGACGATGAACAGATTGCCCGATTTGAAATCCGAGAGCAGGGACTTAAGAATCTCGTATTGTAGTTGGTTCGTATCTTGGTACTCATCAACCATGATATAAGGGTATCTTTTAGCGAGTTGTTCACGGATTGATTCCTGCTGTAATAGGTCCCTGACCTTGATCTGAAGATCATCGAAATCGAGTTGTCCCGTTTGGCGTTTTCGATTTGCGTAGGCGCGTTGAACCTCGTCATAGACATGTATCAACAGGCGAGTCACGCAAATGAGTAATTCATTATCGCTAGTAAAAGTTGGGAAAGATCGGAAGTATTTTGCCGCGCGGACAAGAAAATCAATCTCCTCGTTGAGCGTTTCCGTCTCAACACCGGAGCCGAGGAAATCGCGTTTGCTAATTGTTCCGCCTTGGGTTACGATGAGGGGTGCGATTTCTGTCAAGAACGGAGCTGCCTCTTGTACCTCCATATCTGGCTGAATACTTGCCGCCAATTCTCGAACTATCGCAGCAGTTTTTCCTCTAGCAACTGCCAAGACTACCCTCAAACAATGTAGCGACTTCTCGATAGGGAATTGTGATTGTACATATTCGTGCCAAGTATCCAACACCTTTGAATCCGTGCAGCAATATAAATCGCGCTTCAGCCGTTCCACCACCTCACGTTGATCCACCAGTTCGGATAAATGCGCCTCAAGCTGACTTTTTCCAAAGATTCGCAGCAATTTTACAAGTTTCACACGGGTTTCGTCCTCATCGGGACACGGTCCGCAATCTCCCTGAGACGTGGAATAAACTCAATGGTTTCACGAGAATCAACCGCCCGTGGTGTATCCCTGTTGTACCATGCCGCAGCCTGCGGTCACACCCGCTTCAACGAAAAGACTACCTCTCGCAAAATCCGCGTGCGCCACAAATGCGTGATTGTTGAAATCATGGGTGCGGGAGATCATTCCTGCTCCTGATTCTTTCTAATTGTTGTGCTATGAGGATAGCTTCCTTATAATCTTATGTTTGGAACCTCGTTGACGCATGCGTTGTGTTTTGAGTTCCGCTAGCAGCTTTTCGCTCGTACTGTCAATCGCGCAACAACCTGATTGCGAGGCAGATCGTGTTTCAAGCAAAATCTTTCAAGCAAAATCTCTGAACTGCTTCTGTGAACACGTACGGCGTGTTTTCCAGATCCGGCGGCCAGCCCGGTCACGCTGCCTGCATGTGACGATCTAAGGTCTATGTGCTTTGCTTCGGGTCCGTGTGAATTCCACGATGCGTAACTCCTACAAACAGAGCGACTAGCACAAACAGGCAGACCGTGTGATCGGGTTCAATCTTATCTTGTCTTGTCCGCAGTTGTAGAGGTATAATCGGCGTCAGCCTACGGATCGTCTGGTCGTTCTGTGAGCTAATCGCATCGTCTATTCCCGTTACTATGTCGCGTCGCATTTTCTTGATAGCGAGTGTTTTCTCTTTGGCCGTTGTGTCCTTTTTGGTCGCTGTCCCCTTTTGACAACACTTTCCTTGAGCTTGTCTATGACTTTCAAGCACCTTTCTTCCCTTATACCTTCATCGTCATTCCCTACTCCTTCTATTAGTTCCGTTAACAGCTAACAATTAGCATGCAGCAACCCGGCAACCGGCCCTCACCTCACACGCCTGTTCCAGAACAAGTCGGTATTCTGAGGTTTCTACAGCACACTTTATACTTAAACCTGAGTGGATTCAAGGCATTCAAACACAATCTGCAAGCTTCTAACCTCGTTATCCTTTGTGACAACTGTACCCTCTAAAGTGGACCGGTATGTCTGTGAGGTGCGAGGCGCGATTCTGTAAAACCGACTTTTCTATAAAGAGCTCAATCCTGTTTTGTCAAGTATTGATTGAGGCGGTATAGCATAACAGCAGATGGATGAAAGAAAATATCTGGAGAAATTTTTGTTTCGACCGAGAAATGCATTCGCTTTGATGCTAGTTTCAGCGACCTGGCTATGTTACTTACCTGTTGTTTGATTCGATTTTCACAACTACTCTCGAAGAGACGGCAAAGCACTATAATTATGACAGTCATTTAGGCGAGACCCACAGCATTCTGTTTGGGGCTAACTAGAGGCTAACGGTCACTTTTGCTGGTTTTGTGTTGTGTGAAAAAATGGTATAATTGTCTTGTCTTTCACGTGGGAGATGTCGCGCACCGGCACTGTGCGATGTCTTCCACATCCTACGACCATAGGAATCGAAAAACAGAAAGACAACATCCCATGTTAAAAACTCATAAAGCTCGCTTAGATCAAACACATTCGGTTTATCTCTTCCCGTCGAGTAAGCCTGTTCAGCGTGGGGTATAGTGACAGCGACTATCCTTGTTTTCCGATAGCACGTATCATTCGGCAGTGCTTGTGGTCAGCACCCAAGACAGACAGAGACCTCACGCTGCTACTACCTCTCAAAACCTCGCCGTGCGACACACGGAGAGTTAGAACGCTTGTGCTAGATTCTGCTTTTAAGACCTCACCGTGGCCACCGAATCATCGGATCAAGAAGATAGCACCGCTAGCAACCGCTACTGTCCAGCTATCATAAGAATCCCACCTTCAGATCTTGGGAGCAGTCAAAGATATTACGCTACGCTGCGAATTGCTTACGCGGTCGCCCTGAGATGACAAGAGACCCTGTCTGTATTTGACAATTTTTTATGGGTGAACTCCTGTTCGCTCAGGGCTAGGAACGCCAAGTTGACGGCACGGTCATACTTAGCCCCGGCGATCCCTTCTCAGCGTTCTCAGGTATCTGTTTTTGTGACTAACGTTGGAACTAACCTTACCACCGCGCTCCCTAATTTTGTCAATGACTTCAGAACGTGATCATTGTCGAAGCGAACCTGTTAAACAAAGGTTTTACCGGCGAAGATACTAGCGGAAGTTTCTGTGTGTTCGCTTGATTCGACTGCCCACTGAAGCCCTGCATCTTTCAGCCGTTTCAGAAATTCTTGAACCCTCGGCTGTGAGAAGAAATGGAGGAGGCTTTCCGCAATTTGCGGACCGATACCGTGGATGCCCTCAATATCTTCTAGGCTTGCGGCAGCAAGGGCATCAATTGAGGAGAAGTGGTCAATCAGCAGTTCTGCGACATTTGCGCCAACGTGGGGGATACCCAGTCCAAACAGCACCTTTGCTACCGAATACGGCGGCTCGATTCAATAGCGTTTATGAGATTTTCCGCGGATTTCTCCCCCATCCGCTCAAGACTGACCAGATCCGCCTGCTTCAAGGCGTAGAGATCCGCAACATCATGAATCAGCCCAACCTCAACCAGTTGTTCAACAATCGCGGGTCCAAGTCCGTCAATGTTTAGTGCATTCCGCGAGGCAAAATGTTCAATTCGCCGTTTCAGTTGTGCAGAGCAAGCCACATTCACACAACGGATCGCTGCCTCATCTTCTGACCGCTGCACCGGTGTTTCACACACCGGGCAATGATCTGGCAAACGAAAGACCTTTTCAGTTCCCTTCCGTTGATCTGTCAATACAGCCGTAATTTTCGGAATAACATCTCCCGACCGTTCGAGAAATACCGTATCCCCAACGCGAACATCCTTGCGGATGAGTTCCTGCTCGTTATGCAGGGTGGCATGGGTTATCGTCGCACCTGCCAACTGTACGGAGGACAGGATTGCAACGGGCGTCAAGACACCGGTTCGCCCAACCTGTACTTCGATTGCTTCAATCTGTGTTGTTATCTGACGTGCGGGAAATTTACAGGCAATCGCCCAACGAGGACTTTTCGCTGTGGTGCCGAGTGCCCCCCCCCTGCTGTTGGAGTGAGTCAACTTTTACAACGATTCCATCGGTATCGTAAGAGATTGTTTCTCGATCAGCAGTCCACTGATGGCAATACGCAATGACCTCTTCGATTGATGAATGCGCTTCGGTATAAGGATTCATCTTGAACCCTAGTCCGCAAGCAGGGCAAGGGCTTCCGTATGCTTCGCAATTTCGATGCCTTCCGCATAACCGAGGGTATAAATAAAAATATCCAACGGACGTGACGCTGTGATGGTGGAATCCAACAAACGCGCAGAACCTGCCGCAGCATTCCGCGCATTTGCGAAAGGTGCTTGATCCTCCGCAACTCGCTGTCGGTTCACCTCATCCAATCGATCCCTCGGAATAAATACCTCGCCCCGGACCTCCAAAACGGTTGGCATCGACTGGATTGGGGTCAGTCTCAACGGAATCGTGCGGATGGTGCGTAGATTCGCCGTTACATCTTCCCCATATTCCCCATCCCCTCGTGTGGCACCGCGTACCAACCTACCATCCTCGTAGAGCAAGGCAACCCCCAAGCCATCAATTTTTAACTCTGTCACATACGCAACCGGCTGGTCAGGTAATGCCTTCCGCACACGCTGATCAAAATCGTATAGTTCTTCAGGACTGTACGTATTATCAAGGCTCAACATCTGCGCACGATGGGGGACACTAGTGCCAAGTGTCGTTTCACCGCTAACCCGCTGCGTCGGTGAATCAGGTGTAACAAGCTCAGGATGCATCGCTTCAAGGTGTTCCAACTCTTTCATCAACCGATCATATTCCTGATCTGAAATCTCCGGCTGATTGTCGATGAAATACTTACGTTCATGGTAGCAGATTTGTTCCCGCAGTGCCTCAACCTGATTTTGGATGGAATCGTTTGTCATATCCCTGCGCAAAATTTACAGTTACCAACGTCATAAGATCGAATGCCCTTGTGTCCCTGTCCAAGCGGAGAACTCACATCTTGCCTAATATCAGGGTTGAATCCATCAAATCATAGAAGGAACTCTACGTTGAAAAGTTGCCAGAAAACTATTTTCCATACCAAGCCCTCTTTGCGGAAATCTATTTGGCAATCAACGAGAATCTCTCTTTTGTTGGGGCGTGGGCCCTCTTCGCTGATGACGTGTAAGGTAAATCGTGCGGACGCCTGCCGTGCATTAGTCACATCCACTTGAAATTTTATTAAACTGAAATTGGAGCGCATCATACTTTTCAAACACTACGATAATCGTTTGACTCACTTCATCGAATTTTGCGGGAATAACGCCTGTTGCTAAACCAAGGAGTGTGACGGGATCATCTGCTGCAACGTACGATTCCGAAAAGAGTTCTTGGATTGCACCCAATTTACTTATATCCAATGATTCAGTTAGCGCTGAGAAGCGCTCCAAGAACTGATTAATCTCCATTTCGGCATCCGTCGAGGGCATAAGTGAGATGTTCAATCCAACGCGGTCAGTCCTAAGTTGAAAGTTTTCTATTTTGGACTGGTAATCGTTTGCTATAACCATTAAGCTGAGGTTCTCCGAATAAGGAACCCCTATAAAATTGTATTTGCCGGTTGCTTCGGTTGTCATTGTCTTATCTAATAGCTTGACAGTTGCGCCCTGAATCGGGTTCCGTGTTGTGCCATCGATAATAACACCTGAAACCGCTCCAAATTTCGGGTCGAGAGAGATATTTAATTGTACCTCTTCAGTCCTAAGTTTAAATGGCTTCATTTTGGGTTGGTGATCAATGCCCGTGACGGTTAAATTGTGGTTATCCGAATAACGGATCGCCGTGAAAACATATCTGCCATCTACTCCAGTCTCCACCTTTTGATCTAACAAGCTAACGGTTACGCCCTGAATCGGGTTTCCCGTCTTGGCGTCAATGATAATTCCTGATACCATTCCAGATCGCGGATCTTCCTCCGCTCCCGGATCTAGTGTCTGATCAGACTCTTCTCCAGCCTCGACGGAAGGCGAAGACGACTCTTCGCCGCACCCCAGACTAGTGATTACCCAGATCAGAATAAGAAAAAAACATAAATTGATTTGAAATTTCATTTGGTTGATCTCCTGCAGAATGCGTGGGAGAAATCATACCGAGATAGCATGGAACATTGACTCACGCTTTGCGGTTCTCCCATCACGGAATTACTTTGCTCAAAGGGTATTCAATAATCCCTTCTGCGCCTACGCTCCTGAGTTCCGGGATGAAGTCTCGGACAATACGCTCATCGGCAATCGTTTCGACGGCATACCATCCATCTTGGCTAAGTTGGGAAATCGTTGGATTTCTCATCGCTGGCAAAATGGCGAGCAAGGATTGCAAGTTTTCTTGGGCAATGTTCATTTTGAGCCCGACTTTGTTTTGTGCCGCCAATGCTCCGGAAAGGAGTATATACAAACTTTCCGCCTTGTGCCGCTTCCATTCATCCGTCCAACTCTCCTTATTTGCGATCAACATCGTTACCGATTCAATAACGACATCAACAATTCTTAACTGGTTGGCACGCAAAGTGCTGCCAGTCTCCGTAAGCTCTACAATTGCATCGCAGAGATGGGGAATCTTCACCTCTGTTGCGCCGTGTGAGAATTTGACCGTCGCATTGACACCATTATCCTTGAGGTATGATTTTGTTGCTTCAACTAGTTCACTGAAAATGACTTTTCCTTCGAGATCTGCGACAGACTGGATGGTGGAGTCTTCTGCGACCGCTAGCACCCACCGCGCTGGCTGAGTGGTCAGCTTGCCGTAGGTCAGCGAAGCGACTTCCAGCACATCAACGTTGCATTCGCGTACCCAATCTCGTCCTGCTAACCCCACATCAATGACACCGCGTTCTACGTAGAGTGCCATTTCCTGTGGACGTAGCAGCATCGCTTCAATCTCGTCGTCATCAATGTGTGGATAGTATGACCTTCCACTGATCGTAATTGTGTAGCCCGCTTGTTTGAAAAGGTCATGGTGGTACCTGTACGCATCCTTTGGGAATGCCTATTTGAGTTGTTCACTCGGTCGTGTGTTGCCTCCAAGTTTTTTCGATTGCTTTTCTGACATAAGTCAACTCTCACTGTTACAGAGATTGCTTTGTGATGGAACCCCTTTTGCTGTACTTTCTTCACTTCGTTCGAGGGCGAGCTACGGGCAAGTGCCAACCGTTCCTTCTCTGCGGTCTGTAACACAGCGATCGAGAATTAGTATCAGGCAAACTCTATACCATCAATCGTCCGTCTGTCAAAGCGAAAGAAAAAGGGCGCGTCACGTGATGTGTTCATCAGGTTTATCAATATGTCTTAATCCATTCTTCAGACTTTGGAGCGAGCTGCATGTTTACAGCAGTTGGCAAAAATATGCGACGAAAACACCCTGTGGAACGTAAGCATCTGACACGCTGAGACAGATCGGGGTTAAAATAGGAATCAGATATAGAACTATTCAAAAATTGTTTTCTTTGGAAGTCCTAAAACGTGGAGTGCATATGAACAGAATGGCAAAAGAATGAGTTGGGCAACTCAAAATTGACGAGGGACTTGTTCGTCTGGGTACAGACGAGATTAGCATCCGGCACAGGTGTGGAAGCGGACTGCTTTGTGGACATCGCTAGGGAGAGTGTGTTGCGGATTCGCACCCAAAAACCGGGACACTTCTGGATAAACGGGACGCACTGCAGCAACGCGGATCGACGAATGACGTACGATGGGATTGTCACGGAAGGCGACGAGCCTGCGAGCCAAATGAATATGAGGATTTCTCGCAGAGATTGGTGACCTCTCCTGAAGGTGGAGAGTTCCAAGCGACTACACGAATGTAGACCCAGAAATCGCGGAAATCTCAGGTCCCCAACTGCGTGGTGCGGTGGATAATGCCGTTATGCGCGTAATGCCGGCAATGCCGCTGAGTCTGTATTGATGCATTGTACGGCGCACACGAACAAATGTCATCATTCGGATGAAGATGGGAAGGAGAAAGAGCGTGCGGGTTATTAATCCATGTGCGCGGTGCGCGCGCAGTCATCGCCGCAGCGGAGGTTATCCTAGATGAGCGCGATGTCTGAACGGGGAAAGGTCTCCGAAGTCACGGAATTCTCACTCAAGAACGTTAACGGGACCCAACAATTGGTTGGCAAGGCTCAACGATGGTAGCGAAGTGAGGTTTAGCTGTTCCAGTACAATGTGATGGGTGTTAATGAGAAAGCTGGTGTGAACGGTGCGCGTTGCTCAGAATAATGGGTTGCACATTGAGATCAAAGTGACGCGCGATCATCCTGTTTGAGAAAAACCCAGCCCGACAGGGTGTAAGGTAAAGACGTGGTGCTGGAATCTGCCATACCACAATCAATCCAAGCCTGCGAAGACTCTGTCGCCGCCGTTGATGCTGAGGACAAGACGCAGGTCTACGCCACTGGAACGGCATCATGCAGGGAACGCTGGAGCGACCTTTGAACAGGATGGGCAGCAGGACGATCCGTAGGCTAAATGCAGATGATAGGGACCTTTAGGACGCAGATGGAGCAACCGCATAACGCTTCCGGCGACGGAGTCTTCTGCTGCTTCGGAGTGTGGGATTCACATGTACACCGATGCGGTTACCACGGGCGGCGCTCAGAAAATCCCGAAGTTTTCTTGATGCACCATGGTCACATCGCTCGGGCAGCTATACACGACCTCAAGAAAAATGAACATGTCCACAGCCGGGCAGGACAGCATCTAATCGTCAAACCCAACTCCACGGTCCACGAAGATGGCTGCTGCTGCTGGTGCAGCAACAGTCGACCATGTTTGAAGCGGTGTGAGCGTGCGCTCGAACTTGAAAGAACTACGTTGAAGATGGGGAGTATGGATTGTGAGGAGCGTCGAACCACATTAACTTGAAAGAAGCCATCGCGCAGCGAGTGCAGGAGAGCGAGTCGTGTCATCAATACCGGATTCCTCGACTCGAACAGGCGATGAAATCCACACAAGCATGGAAGCAGGAAGGAGCAGGACGATGATTCCAAAGCACTGACATCACAAGCCAACCGTGGATGCTTGCCGATGAAAGATTGGAATTGAGATATCGTATTGTGACGGGCTTCCAGGTAAGGCACAGATTGGTAAAGGGATGTGTGCGCGATGCCCGGATGAGATGCGCAGCGATGTCGAGACAAAGATAGGTCACCGCAAGCCGGTGCGACACACCGCTTGGGTGCCTCGCCACGGCTTGTATGCTACGCTCCGCGCCTGACAATCCATCACGTGAGATGCGTGTCGCAGGTAGACAGGCTGAACTTGCAGCGTAGAGGACGTGCTAGCTTGTCGGTATATGACACCACTCGCGTTATCGAATCGAGAATTCGGGAGAGGAGAGGCGGAAATCCAGCAGGAACTGGATAAGATAATAATGCCCAAGGGATACTGGGGACTATGTGGTTCGATGGGTTTACTCAAGGGATTGCTGGTCAAAGGTGCCAGACATCATGACGTGGGATGATTGATGGAAGAACGACGCAACGCTACGCATATCGAGTCAGCATATGCAAATTGACCCTTCATGGCTGCATCATGGGGTTGTGGACGCGGGAGACAGCATGGTACAGAAACCTTTGAGCGGAGGCTTGCGTCGTGATAGGCAGATTGCGGGACCTCCTTATGCTCGTCGTTTCCTTGCTTCTTTTTTGAGATACTCAACTATACCGAACACTGGCCACCCGAATTTGACATTAGGGCATCGCCCCTGTCAAGCTTTAGCACTAGATTAGTCTTTAATTTGGGTGGGATTTGCGATTCCATATACGGCTTTATAACTGAATATCGTACTGCACACTCGCTCGTTTTGAGAGAGGTCAAAGCGACGCAAAGAGTGCGTCGCTTCGATCCGTGAATTAGACCGCACAAACTTTTCTCTGGACGTTTGTCTCGCATTGATAACCTCGCTGATATAGACATCGCGTGAGCGACCATCTATACCGTGCGGCGAGTTGCTGAAACTGTCCAGCCCGCTCGTTACCGTTCTCGTTCACGGGGTGTGATGATCTCACCGTTCGAGCGTGCATGACTAGTAATGCGCTCGCTGCCCAACTTCTGCGATGTGTTGGCATAATCCGATCGAATGCTATGAACAGATCATTGGGAGAGAGAAGGTCCCCCCACTCACGCAGATATTCTCCATTAGAGTCGAAAATCTGACACCCGAAGGTTCCAGGTCTAAGATATAGACTCGATCATTTGTTCCACGGTGACATCAGCGGCAGGTTAAACTCGCTAGGTCCGACCCACTCCCCGGACGCGCCCCAAAAAACGAAACTTCGCCATAAGCGTCATGCGATGAACCCGCGATTGCCACCCCATAACCGTCCGAGCATTACAGTTCACAGGATGGGATAAGACCGCACGGGTCGTTTGATTAAATGGCTGCCCCGGGGACCCGTTCATCCACAGTTCCCACGTTTGTAACAAGTTCCACAGGAAGAGCGAAAACTTCCAAACGGTGTGATCTTCGTGTCCGTGGTGTAGATTTCATCATCGGGAATTATCCAAATCCCGTGTGGTGCTTGAAAGAGATTTCGCCCCAAGAACCTATGAACCGACCATCTCGCTCAAAACGAGAACGGAACGGAGGGGGAAAAGAGATGCGCGGACTGGCCGAGAGATCGATGGGGCGGGGAGCAGGGCTGGGCGGACCTGGAGGGGGTCAGACACAGCGAGGGAATGAACAGGACCATGGGGGACCTGGATAAGGGGAGTGTGGGAAATGTGTGACCCACTACAAGCGTAAGTGTTGCCCGTCTGGAAGCAAGTGTTTGAAAGTTTTTAAAGAATTGAAAATAATTTTTTTTTTTGGTGTTTGGTGTTGTGGGGGAGGGGCGCAGCGGGCCTCCCTCAGGGGGGGGGTCAAGTGAACCTGGAAGGGTTTATATCTGCAGGGGGAAGGCAGGCGAGGGAGGGCGGTCATGGGGAAAAAAGGGGACATACATGGAGGGGGAGGCGGAAAATCGGGCACTCCCTTAGGTGGGAAGCGAGCGGGTCGTAGGGTAGGATGAGGGAGGGTACCTTTGTGGATGGACGTCGTTTTTGAAGTTTGCTGTGTGTTGATGAAGACATTGAATTGAGTTGATGCTTTACAAAATTTTTAATGATTTGTTATTTAATTGAATTTTGTGATTGTTGGTGATTGCGGGGGAGGTCGTGGGCGGGCGGGACTGGGAAATGGGGCACCGGGGGTTGTGGGGGTAGACATGATGGCTTATCGTATTTTGAACTGCGCGGTTCCAGGTATTTTAACTTTGATTGTTAGAGTCGAATTTTGAGAAATGGTGAAAAGGTCTTGATTTGTTGAGTTTTTGAATGAAATTGATTTTGTTGTTGTTGACTTGCCACTTTTGCTGCAAAACGTTGTTTTTCTTGACCTTTGTGAGTTATCTGTCCGTTGAATTGATTGTTTCGGGATGGGGGTCGGGCGCTGGGGGGTCCACGGCCCTAGGCGGGGGAAGGGAGTCTGGTCCGGCCGCGGCAGCCTAGGGACGGCTAATAGGAAAAAACGGAGGGGGACAGCGGGGACCGATCAGCGGGGGCGTCCCCTCAGGCGGGGCCGCCCGGGCGCGCGGGGGGCGGGGCGGGGGACCCGACGGGTGGCGGGACCGCATTGCTGGGGGGGGGTAGGGGGGGTTTTGGGGTCCCCGGGCTGGGGAGTGGTGCGGGAAGGGGGGATGTAAGGTTGGTTTGTGTTTGTTGTTTGTGGGTTCAATTTGTTTTTATTGATTTGTTTCTTGATTGGTTTTTGAACACATAGACACGATCTTGGAATTCAAAAGCAACAGCCAGAGGCAAACCAAAACTGAGGTATATGCCACCCAACCTTCTACAACCTCATATCGATAATCAACTCCGAATAAAACCATA